GCGTGTGCGTGTGCGCGTGCGCGTGCGTGTGAGTGCGCGAGCGCGAGCGCGTGTTCGTGTGCGCTTGCATGTGCGTGTGAGTGTGCGTCTGCGTCTGCGTCTGCGCGTGCGCGTGCGTGCGCGTGCGCGCGTGCGCGTGCGCCCGTGCGCGTGCGTGTGCGCGTGCGTGTGCGCGCGCGTGTGAGAGCGTGTGCGCGTGCGCGCGTGCGCTGCATGTGCTTGCGCGTGCGCGAGTGCGCGTGCGCGCGCGTGCTTGCGCGTGCATTTGCGCGTGCGTTTGCGCATGCACCGCGAGCGCGCGTGCGCGCGAGCGTGCGTGTGCGAGCGCGCGCGTGCGCGCGCGTGCGCGTGCGTGTGCGCGCGCGCGTGCGTGTGCGAGTGCGCGCGTGTCTGCCTGTGCGTGTGCGTGTGCGTGTGCAGGTGCAGGTGCAGGTGCGCGCGCGCGCGTGCATGTGCGCGCGTGCGCGCGCGTGCGCGTGCCTTTGCGAACGCGCGTGCGCGTGCGCGCGCATGCGCGTGTGCATGCGTGCGCGCGCGCGTGCGCGTGCGTGTGCGCGCGCGTGCGTGTGCGCGTGCGCGTGCGTGTGCGCGTGCGCGTGCGTGTGCGCGTGCGCGCGCGTGCGCGCGTGCGCGTGCGTGCGCGCGCGTGCGCGCGCGCGTGCGCGCGCGCATGTGCTTGTGCGCGTGTGCGCGCGCGTGCGTGCGCGCATGTTTGTGTGTGTGTCCGTGCGTGCCTGTGTCTGCCTGTGTCTGTCTGTGTCTGTCTGTGTGTGTCTATGTCTGTCTGTGTCTGTCTGTGTGTGTCTGTGCGTGTGTCTATGTGTGTCTGTGACTGTGTGTGTCTGCGTGTGTCTGTGCGTGTCTGCGTGCGCGCGTGTGTCTGCGTGTGTATGTTTGCGTTTGTGTGTCTGTGTGCGTGTGTCTGTGTGTATGTGTGTATGCGTGTGTCTGTGTATGTCTATGTGTGTATGTGTGTGTCTGTGCGTGTCTGTGTGTGTCTGTGTGTCTGGACGAAGACGCGTGTGACTGTGTGCATGTGTGTCTGCGCGTGCGCCTGCGCGCGCATGGGCGCGCCCGCGCGCACCCGCGCGCGCGGGCCCGCACGGGGGGGCGGGCGGGGAGGCGAGGGGCCGGCGGGCCGGGGAGAAGGGGGGGCGGGGGCGGGGGGGCGCAGGGACGCCGGGGCGCGGCAGCGCGGGGGCGCAGGGGGTGCGCGAGCGCGCGGGCGCGCGCGCGCGTGGGCGCGTGGTTTCGCGGGCGAGCGGGCGCGCGGGTTCGCGGGCGCGTCGGCGCGCGGGCGCGCGCGCAAAACAAGCGAGCTCCTTCCTCCCGGGGGGGGCCCCACCCAGCGCCTGGGCCCGTCAATAAATGACTGCGGCCGAAAAGACGGCCACCGGGAAGGGGCCCAGACCTCCGGGGCGCCCTGACTGGGAAAGTTAAAACGATAACAATGACACGCCGCCGCGGGGGAACCCGCCAGCGAGCCACCCTTGAAGAAACGCCGAGCCGTCAGACGAGAAGCAAGGAGCAACGCGCTAACTGGCCCCCGACGGGGGCGCGCCATTCAGATCTCCCCGCCCCCGACTGACACCCTCGCGTCATGGGCAAAATTAAACGGAAGGTTTTGTGCGATTCCTGGCTCCTGGAGGCCCTCGCGGGGCCCTGGGGCCGTCCAAAAACGGCTCGGGAAGCAGGGGCGTCGGGGGTCAGAGGTGGGCATCGAACAAAGAAATCAGATCGGATGGGAACAGGCGTCGGAGCGGGTCGCATCGGCACGGCGTCGGGATCACATGGGGTCCGCCGAGCCAGGGTGCGCAACATCGAGACGCATCGGGTCGTCGGAACATAGAAATCAACTCGGATCGGGCTCGCCGAACGCGATACCCAATGGGATCGATCGGACCGATACGCGCCCCGCGGGGGCGCGGTGCATGAGCGGCCCCAGCGGCCCCGCGCTGGGGCGCGCCGCGCGCCCCCCGCCCCCCCCCCGAGCGCAGGCCGGGGAAACGAGGCGGGGAGGGCGGCCGGCCCAGAAATCCGACGTCGCCTTCTTGCCAAAGCGCGGCCCAAAAGAATATGGACCCCTTCCCCCGGACCGGCCTTGCAGCCCGGGCCGTTTCCTGACTCGGCGGCGCGCCCGGGGGGGGGGGGGCCAGAAGCAGCGGGCCACCCCGGAAAGCCCAGGAGGCTGGAGGTACTCTAGGAAGCTCCACGCTCACCGAGCCTCCCCAACAGACCGCAGGGGGCTTCTCGGAGGCCAGGCGGCATCTGAGAAGGCCCGCCATTTTGTTGTAAGAAGGCCCGCCCCCCCGCGCCCCCCCCTCGGCGCGCCGCCGACCGACGGCCCCCGAGGGCCTTCGGAGGCCGAGACTTGCAAGAGACCCTCCGTCTAGATTGTCTCGCGGCGAGAGGACGGCGCGACGCCCGGGGCGAGCGGGGGGGGCGGCGGGGCAGGCTGGGCGCCGGTCTGCGCCAGCGTCTCCGCGCGGAGGTGCGCTGGGCGGTCGCCCCCCTCCACCCCAGCCCCCCGCGGTCTCCCGACTGCGCGCGAGAGCGACCCCAGGCAATAAAGGACCTCCAGCGCGCAGCTCTGGGGGGGGCGCGGGGGGCCACGCCCGGGCGCGCACGCAGCTTCTTCCGCGCCGCACTCAGCCACCCAGGGCCCCGGCGAGCCCGCGCCCAGAGTCACTCTGGCGAGAAAGTGTCTTGCCGATCAATCGTCATTTTAAGCCGAAGTGCATTGGTATGAGTAGGTTGTTATGCTCGCTGGTCTTCTTCTAGTAGCTCATGGCAAAGCAAGCCTCCCATTATAAACATGTGAGCACATGGCTGGGTAAGTCCGTTAAGCGAAAGTACTCGAAATACAGATGCGGCCTGTCTGTGTACGCGCGCGCACGGCAAGGCTGCCAGCGCGCGCTTTTGCTCGAGCAACTGCACACAGCAAAGGAGCCACCCCTCCGCACGATCCACGCCCTACCAGCACTCTGCAAGGGGAAAGAGCGGAGGGCTGCAAAAATGGGCGAAGGAAATGTCAGGAGCGACCCAGCGCGACATCGTCGCGCCAGGGTGGACGTCAGCACATCGGCTAACATCCCAAGAAGAAGAGGCGGGACATGCCGAACCGCCTCTAGCAAGTCCCGAGAGAGGTCGGACAGCCTTCACCCATTTTCCCCCAGGGCCACTCTGGGCCCCCCGCGGCGCCAACCCCAAAACGCCTTTTGCGGCGCAGGCGGCGAGGAAGGGAGCTCTCTTGTCATCGCTCTGCAGGACAAGTCGAGGGCCTCCCGACACGCCCCCCCCCCCCCCCCAGAATAATATGAGAGGCGCGCGCCGCCCAGACATCAACCCAGTAGGCTACTAGCCTGTCAATGACCTCGGGGCGCCTGCGGTTAGTGCCCACGCTGCGCTGCAACCGGGTCAGGCTGAGACATCATCTCAACCTTTCACCCATGCCTGTCGCGCGAGCGGTTGCTCGCCCACCACTGATCGCCGAAGCGGCCATCGCGACAGGCACCCCGACCCCCGTCGCCACGCGGGGCCCGCCAGGCAGCCCAGCTCGGAGAGGGCGACCAGGATGTCCAGCGACCAGCTGTATCAGCGCGCCAGGGGGCTCGCGAAGACGCCGCTTCGTCCTGCCACCACTGGCCGTAGTCACGGTGCCAAGGCGCACAGGACATCGTCGCGGCCGCCGCGGCTGCCAGCGCAATCAGCGTAGGCGGCGCGGGCGTCAGCCTCGGCGCGACGCTGCTAGTCCGATCTCGATGGACGGCATATTTCTAATCGGCCGCGGCTCGACCCTCTGCCACGGGGGCGCGCCAGGCGAGGTGCGAAAGTCGCTCTCGGGGGAACTGTTCATCGTAAGAGGGCCACGCTGCCGGAACGCCCGCAATGGCAGAACTTTGCTCCAGCCCCACTTCGCAGGCTCCCACGCCCGAAGGCGCACGGTAGAGGCCTGACCAGGCGGGGCCAGAACTGCCGCTGCGTTTCCGAGCACGAGATGTCTCGCCACTGCGATCATCGGCCCTCACATTTACGCGTCTGCAACCCCGCCTGAGCGGTAAAGTTCGCCTGCGACGTTCTCCGCGAGAGGGGGGGGCAGCGCCTGCGGCAGACTCATCAGGGCGATAATATCATTATTTTTTGTGATTAAGCTGTGTCATCTTGATCGATCGGCTCAAGCGGCCCTCATCGAAGCGGTTCCACATGCAGTCTTTTAGGTACTCGAGAGTAGGAAAATTATGTTCCACACCCTCTGCCAGCCGCCAAGCCCCCCATCCGTTCGGCGGATCGGGTGCTTTTTTATATCGGACATTATGAGGTTGCCCCACAGTCAGGGCTACAACTATCCGAAATGTTGCTCATCGGCCCGCACATGGTAACTCAGAAATGGCCAAACTTCAACGGGGACAATAGCCGTCGGCCCAGAGGCTGGCCTTCCCATGAGCTTCTGAAAGCTGGCCCAACGCTGACCCAAAAACGACCCTTGTTCTGAAGCCACGCATGGACCCGAACTGGCGGCGCGTCCTCTTCCGACGTGGTCCTCCACGCAAGCACGGTCATGTAATGAAACGACAATGCAGTCTGGCCTTGGAGAGCCAACGTGATTCGGTACTTAGCCACATTGGGATCTCTCCACTAGTGTTCGGACTTGGATATGTTATTGTCGGTGGTGCGGCTTTGCGTATATGTTGGGGGCCTCGCAATCGACGCAGGAACACGGTTCCCGGCTTCAGGGCCTATTCCATGCTCAGGAACGTCCCGAGGCCCAGCGCCCCCCACGCAATTGCAGGACGAGGCGCATCCGGGTTCTCAAGACTGTGCTCGCAGCGCATCGGCTGCGAGCAGCGCAAGCAACAGATCACACGCAAGCGATTGCGACGCGTTATCGAGCACGCAAGGTAACTGCCCACCTAAGGCGGATGCGAAATCATCTTTCGCTTCAAGTCGCTCGAAGCAAGCTGGTGGTCTAGGTCCCCATACATGACAAAACCGTCCTTGTGTTAAATATACTCGATGCTACCAGAGTCCTGCAATCCAATGATCCAAACTCCACCAAAACGCTGGTCGAACACCACCGTCCACGACACCGTCGGAACGGGTGCCTCCGACACGGCAATCCGCAAAATCGGGCGAATCTCATCCCATCGTGGACGGAACTCAGTCGCCAAGGAGCCATCACGCACGCCCCAGGACGTGGCATTATCATAGATACGCGGGGAGACGGTCGCCACCCCCGGGTCGTCTACGTCGAAGACCCTCGCATCCAAGTCATCGGCTGAGAGCGATTGGGACCATCCATTTGGGCGAAGCCAGCGCGGGCACTGCCCTGATTAGCCCATACGCTATCCAGAGTTTATCTCGCCGTGTCCACCATGCGCACTGTCCTCCGCCGCCTCTGTGACCAATGTTCTTGGACAGTCTCTCAGCTTGACAAAGTTAGAAGACATGTATCTACACCGTCGGATTCCATTGATGTCTGCCTCTGGCGGAAACACCATATCAACCATCAATTGCAAGACGCTCGACACAGTGAGACAGAATCTCATCGCCGTTGGCATCAAATTGGTTGATGACGAGGGTGTATGCGCCCGGGTCGAACCACCCTCGCTGAGTGCCCCTGCGATGCCCGAAAGACAATGGGCTTCACCTCGGGAGGCCCAAAGTCTGCCCCGTATTATGCGACTCCGTCACGAGGCAGCGCCCGCCTGTTATTTTCTTTTCAATAATTTGGACACCCCGCCGCTGGCTTGTCATTCTCGACCAACCTGACACCCAGTACTTGCACCGACTTCTTCGGCAGGGTGCTACGGGCGCGCATCAACCGAGACCGAGGGCGATCAAAACCCTCGCTCTTCAGCATGTCAACAACCCGCGCCATGTCGGCCCATCCGCCAGAGCTGAAGACATCGGCAGCACTATGTTTTGCCACTCCCATGATCAAAGACCCCAGCCTTGCAGCCTCTTCCTCGCTAGTTCCGCTGAAGTACGCGCGCAGGCGGCAGCCTGCCAATGGGATGATGGACAACAACGCGTGCAAACTCGCTGGGGGATCTTGAGTCGCGATCGAGCCGTAGCGCGATCGGAGGAACGCGTCTGCACCCTCTCGTTGCTGCACGGTTAGGCCCCGAAGCAACTCCAGCACAACGTCCCCGGAGAATCCAAGCTCGTCGCCCTTTGTCCAGGAATGGCATCCGTCGTGGATCATCGGGGAACGGGCCAGCAGAGCGCGCTGACTCGATCCTCCTCGCGAGGCTGGAATCCGCCACCATGAGGCCCGCTTCTTCGTCATCCAGCGAAAGAATCAGCAGCGCCTCGGTCTCCCAGGCGCGCTCGTCGCGCTGCAATTCTTCGTGGCAAGCAGATCCGTTCTTCAACAGTTTGGAACCGCAAAATGATCGAGATCCGCTCACTTTTCGGAGGGCCCGGCGGAGCGGCCAACCGAAGGCGCCCGTTGCCAAACATCTCGGGCATCTCCTTACTCTTCACGGCGAGCGGGATCAAGTCCGATGGGATGCACCCCAAGGGCTCGCACACGGCCTTGGGACGCGATCCACAAACGCCGCGATGGCACCGTCACCAGGCAGACGCGCATATTCTTCCCGTTCTTCCTTCTATCCCCACGTCACGGCCTTCGTCGGGGGTCTTCGCACGACCTTCATCTCCCCCCCCCCCAATCTGCATCAGGATCAAAGCCTGGGACTGACAGAGCAGAACGAAGCGATAATTCCACATATTTGCTGACCGGCCTCGAAGCCCCCCCTTCTTGCACCGGCGGCGCAAAGGCATCGTCGCCCGACCCCTCGGCTACGCTGTCTGCGAAGATGGCTTCGCCATGTTCGCAAGATGGACCTCGCCGTTTCCTGTGCCTTCTGACAGATTGATGCGGGGGCGGCGTTCTCTCTGCGAACCGCCTCTTGCAAGCCTTCCGTTTTTCTCCCGTCGTGAAAGCATCGTTCCGCAATGACGCAGCACTAGCCCAGTGCGAATAGGCTCTCTGCTGAGGAGTGCACATGTCGATGCGGACTGCAGCTGACTTGTTGCAGTTCTCACATACCACCACAGGTGGCATGATTTGGCCATGTTCTCAGTCGATGGCGATATACCAAGAAATAAAAAGTTGGACATGTGAAGATTTGGACGGCGTGCGACATGCACGTCGAAGCCACCGTCTCTTCGCCCGGACCAGAGCTCGCGCTCTGCAGCCTCCATATGGCCTGGTTTCCAAAGGCATGGGCTGACACATCGACGCCTTCGGCCTCGGCCCCTAGGTTGATATTCCGTCGCAGCGTAGACGGAGCACTCAGAGTACGCAAAATAGCTAGGCTCAAAATCAGCCATGCCAAGAACGCCCCAGGAGCCCTTTCCATCGCCGCCAATCACCTTGCGACGATGCCTCATAGCAGCAGAATATTTGCTCATCACGGGGATGCTGTCGCAGCAACTCCTGCTTACGCTTTCGCTTTTCACCACGCCGGTCCCGCCTGGGCCCGTGAGGGACATTGCCCCCGCCCCCCTCCTTTTCATTCTCTGCGTCTTCGTCATCGTCGTCGGAAAAGGGCGAACCTTTGGCGGGGTCTTCCTCGGCCTTACGCATGGCCTCGTCGGCATTCCGATACTCGAACAAGCTTTCCTGCGACCGCCGGACCCACCCCGGGCCAGGTCGAACCCCTCCTGCATCCAGGACGGGCGAGTCATGCGCGACATTCGCAAATCGCTCGCAGTGCCCAAGAGCCTCCGCGCCAGGGTACATCGCGCACGGATAGCGGGAAGACTCTGTTTCCACTCCAGGTACAACTCCATCCAGCTGCATTAAACAATTCTGTTGTGGCGTAGTCGATGAGATGCTGAACAGTACGAGTTCTGTCACTCTGCACCTGTGCTATCTGCGCTTGCTGGCGCGGCCTGCACAGCTGAGCACGCGCGTTGCGCATCGCGCTGTCGGCTCCGAGAGGGATGAGTCCTGTCTCGTACACCATCAACATCGAAACCAACTCGTCAATGATCCACGTTCGATCAGGCCGGGCGCCCCTCGACCCGACCTCTTCCGGCCCGAAGAAGACAAGAGTCGTCGATTATCGCCCGAAAATCCACCTCGAAGAAATCTTTCTGCGTCGACGGAGGAACGTAAAGATGTAGGCCATTCCGTAAAATATAGCACGATCGCAACGCGCGCGACGATTGCTCGTTCCGAGCAATACCATTGCTTCTTACCCCTCGGGTTCTGGCCAACGAACTCGAGACCATCAGCACGGCCAATTATAGAAGTCGGGGCCAGCAACTGGAAATCGCAAGTCACATCGTACCCGTCACCGAGCAGCTCGCCCGGCACGGAAAATCGCGCAGGGAGATGCGGAATGACATCGGCGTCCTCAAACGCGCACACGCCGCCCGCCTTCGATGCTCCTATCTTCTTAACTTTGGCCCTTCCTCCCTCGTCGCCCTTGGAACAGAAGAACACGCCGGCAGTAATAATAGCTCCCACCCGGTCCGTGTGAATAGCACGGAAAAAGCATCACCAGCCTTGTTCTTACTTCCTGTTCACGAAACCCTAGGGAATACCAAACAGAGCGATCAGGATGGCGCGGTCGCCGCTGGTTTCACAGTGGATCCCCAAAGCAAAAACGCCTCACAGCGTTGCTCTTTGATCGTAGGCCGCATACAGCCGCCTGGAAGCCAACCACTCAATAACACAGTTCTGGAGATAGTTCCCCAATAGGTCCGGCAAGAAATACAGCAGGATGGGCTCGACAAGCCATGTCTCTGAGCTCGCGTTCTCAGAACTGGCATGAGTCTGCTCTTCGACTAGGCGCGACGACTCTTGAAAGCCTCCTTGGCGCGAGTTGTCCGATTTTGCAGCGCACCAGCATCGGGTCATTATCCGCGACCAATGTTGGGTCTACAACACGCCCCGCAAGAGTTCCCGCGAAAAGAGTCCTCGACTTACCTGGCCCCACGACAACCACCGCTTGATGCGCCGAAGTTTCGAACGCGCGGGAACGCGATATCATGCCCTGTCCAACGCGGCACTTCAGGATCAGGTCGTCGTTGTAAACAACCGAGCGCTCGAAAGTACAACGCATGATGATCGACCGCCGAACGAGCGGTTTAGTCCCCATTTCTCGCGGGCGTCCCGTTTCGGCCTTCGTTTGGGATTCGTTAGTCTTGATCCAACGAATGGGTTGGAAATCTATTATCCTGACCGTGGCCTTGGGCGCCTGGGTCAGGCGAATGCACTCCCCTATGCGTTCGTCCGGGATCAGTCGGGCCCACGCAGTCTGGCGAAAGGGCCATGCCCAGAAGACATGCATCGTCGCTCCATGCACGGGCGCACATGAATAAATCGAACCCGGGGGCCCTCGTAGCCACGTTACCATTCGCAACCCGATCCGCGAATCCAGGGAAATCTATACCGATGTGATCTATCAACGGCACGCGTGCAATTAACTCTGGGCTGAACGGCAATAAGTGGCCATGAGCCGCTTCGACGAGCGACCCCAAGAAAATACAATTTTCTGCGAGGCGTTTTGTGCCCCACTTCCTCTGCCACGCGGGCACTCTGCACCCGCGACTGTCGCCAGATGGGCCCGGTTCATTTCGACGCGTAGATGAAGAGCACGCCGAATACACACCCCCACGATATCGACACATGCATCGCCAGTTCCCTCGACCAACATAGGTTTCAAGCGCCATGCGCCCCCTTCAGGGCGCTCTCCGATCCGATGGATCTCGGAGCCCCTGATCCACGACATCCTGCACGGATAGCCAGCTTCCCCCCATGAGTCTCGTCGTCAGCCAGCGCGACGTGCAAAGGCATACCACGAAACGCATGCTCCACTACCCGGCGGCAAACCCCAGGAATGGGCGCCACCCCGCCCCCTTGCCACCGTGAAGAAACCCTGAGACGTCGCGGAGATCAACAAGTTGCTTCACCTGCTCAAGCGCATAGAAAGAATCGTCCCCACTGGCGCCGCTCGCCGCGCCACGTAGCGCGCGGTCACCATCCGAGTCAAGTCCGCTGCCGTTCCAAAAGATTACTCGCACATTCTCGACTTAGCTCGACTGGGGCATTTTTCCGTCGCACTGGAAAAAGACCCAAACGCTGATGCCCACGTTGACGCATCGCTTTCCTTTCCCTGACTTCCCCGCACATTTGGCGGTGAGCGGCCTTATGTACCAACCCACTATCGGAATACCCACCTGTGCACGTGCCACGATAGTCTGCCCCAAGAAACTCGCGCGCAACCCGGCAGCGTCAATCATAGCTGAAATCGCCGCAAAGCACTGCGGGGATCCGACACGGCCAGCGCGCCCAATCTTGGACGCATTGGTAACCTGCGCAAGACGGGAAACAATTTCCCTGGCTAAGTCTTGCTATGGCGGCGTTTATTGACGTCGTCAACCGCGTGGAACTCTTCTAGACAGTAGTCCGCTTTTCTTATGGATCGCAGTTTTGCTCCTTCCCATGCAACATGGACTCCTGTCTTTGATTTGAATCGGCCCATGGTGTCTGCTACGCTCGGGGCCCTATTTCCTCTTGTCGGGGCACTGGCACTGCCAGCGCCTTCATTGGACGAGCCGGGAGCAGACCGCGGGAAACCACTTGCGGCCCCTTGCACGTCTGCGTCGCATTCATCGGCTCGCCACGACGCTTCGATTGGCGGTTAAAACGCATTTGACGTATCCTCGCGCCCTCCCCACCTCTTCACGCCCGTCGATGGCGCTCCTGTGGGGAGACTGTCCATGGCTGGCCACGGCGCCGCTACCTTCGGTTCTTCGCGCTCCACTCCAGTGAAGCCCAAGGAAGGCGGAAACGGCTGTCGGCCGTGCCCCCACGGCTTCACTGTCGGACCCTCCGCAGGGGAGCTGCCGATACTCTCGGGGCCGCGGAGCGGCCGGCGCCAGAGGCGCCGGGGCCTCGAGGGGCAGGAAGCCGCGTTGGCGGAGGCAGTGGCGTTTCACTCGAACTCGGCGCCGGCCACGACGGCGGCTTAGCAGGCGCCTTCTTGTCCAGATGCTTTCGGAAGGCGCATCCTGCCAGACGCGCCGCGCCACCATTCCGCGAACGCGCTGCCTTCGGGGACGCCCGGCGGAGGGGGCCCATTCCTGACCGGGCGTCGGCGAGGGCAGAACCCCAGCGCGCGCGCCTCCACGTGGACCACTCGCAAGCGCCTGGTCGGCCTCCCGCGGAACTGCCCTCTCCACCGCAGGCCTTCTTGGCAGCGGCGGAGGCAGCTTCCTTAAAAGGAGGCGCAAGTTCGACGTCGTCGCCCGGCTGCCCCCCCGCGTCAACCGACGCGGCACGCGGTCGCCACTGGAAGGCGCCACGCATCGTCGAATCCGAGGGCGGCGCGACCGTTGAGCTGGGGATATTCGCCCCCGCCCCCCTCGGCAATCCCAGTTCTTCGCGCCGCGCGGGATCGCGAGGGGTGTAATCGCGACGCCGCAGCCAATTCCTATGCGCGCAGCTGTCCAAGCCAGCTGGCGGCGGCTTGGTCCCCCCCCAAAAAAACCTTTCTGGAGGGGAATGCTCTCCTCTCCAGCGGGGAAGGCGCGCGCCGCGGCATGGCGGCGGCCGATCATTCAAATGATGCGCGATGGCTTCAAACGTGCGCCCTCGGAAAGGCTTCATCGCATGCACGTCCAAATACAGCATCTAGCTGAGGGGCGAGAAATCCCAGGGGTGCTCCGCCGGCCCCTCAGCTTCGACGCCAATGATAACAGGCCCTGCTAGGGGGGGATCGGGATCGCCGTGCCTCGCAACCTTCCACGCGCTGAGTCTGCGCGGGAACGCGGGGCGCACACTCGCGGCCTCGACCGATCCAACAAGACGTCTGGGAGCGCTGGGCGCAAATATATCGGGGCGCTTGGTCAGCATCAAGAAACCAACCAAACGATACTTCCAGGGTCATTTCCCCCGATTTTCCCAGGAGTAGGCCCGCCAGCCCCCCGGCCCGCCTCTCGACGAGGCACGCGCGCCAGAATGCAAACAAACCCGGCCTCGCAAGACAGGGCGGGCAGTCGTCGTCTTCGTCAGCTCACTCGCTGAGAACAACCGCTGACTGGTTCTGGATCAACTGCGATCGCCTTCTTTCCTGGGCAACACCAAGAGTTGTCGCCATCGAGTTCCTTCCTGCGCACTGCAGCCCCGCGATCCATGGGGCTGCCCTGATCATGCGCTTCCAGAGAGCCACCCACAGGCCAATCGGTAGGTTCTCTCGATCACCTTGGAACTTGTAAGTGGGATCGAGAAAGCTTTAGCAGCGCGCCCTGTTGGTCCGGGTCTATAGCTCCTGACTGGCATTTGAGCCCATTGAGCTCGACCAGGAAGCGCCCCCGGTAGGCCTTCTCCACTTCCTTAGGCTGGCAACCTGCACGCACCCAGAAGATTCGATACAAGCGCGGGACTTGATACCAATTTGCAGCCGTGAGTTTCTTCCATTCACCGCCAATTCTCTCGACGAGCCCCTCGTTCTGGCGCCCGTCGTCTCGACCATCGCTCACGACGATCTCATCGCCACCCGCAGTCTTCACCAACGTCTAAAGAGGCCCCTTATTGAAGTCAGCGAGGACGGAAGTGCAAAAATCCACGAACCGTGGTCGTACACCACAGACCCTCCAGCCCGATGCCGCTTTTCTTGCTGCGGGTCGCTCAAGATGTCCCCCGCCAGATCGGCAATTTCACGAACTTCTTCGATCGCGCTGCCGAAGTTGTTATGCCAAGTCATGTCAGGACCCCGAAAGATCGCCATCATCGGTGGATATCAAAGCAAAGTGGGCGCGCCGTAGCCGTTGCTAGCATCGCCCGGAAAATCCCACGAAATTGATCGAACGCGACAGAGGCCGGCATAATCTCTACTTGCCCCCCCTGCTACCTCGCGGCCGCGGCTCCCGCCAGAGGCGCGCAACGCGCGGACTCACCGCGCGCCGTTCTTCTCTCTGCTCGCGCGAACCCACTGGGTTCGCGCGCAATGGAACAGAGTCTGAAACTCAATGTAGCAGGCCTCGCAGGCCTGCAGGCAAGGTATAAGCCTAGCCCAGTTGACTGGGTTCGCGGAGTCCGCAAGGCAGTTGAACGGACGGCGGCGGCAATATGGCGGCGGCGGTCCGGAGGCCTTGGGGCGTCGCAGAAGCGGGCGCCCGAGTTGCGGCGAGCCAAAACGACAGCGGTTGGCACAGCATGCACCGACGAAACCACGATAGCAACGGCAGCGACCGATGGCAACATAGACCCAACGATCAAATGGTGCACGCGCCGAGCAAACGCGTCCGCATAGTCCTCTGCTAGTCTGCAATCACGTCCCCCAGCCTCAACATGCTTATGTGATCCGTCGCATGTTCCCTCCATTCCCTTGGCAAGAGTCACCGAGCTAGTCGAAACAGCCCATGTCTCATGCACTGACCTCGCGTTAACAAGACCGTATGCGCATCCATGCAATCACGCCTCATTCATGCTACTGTTGCTGGAAAATGCTTTAACCTGTTGGTCACGCCAATGGTCGCGCGGAGTCGGCCCTAGACACGCAAGTCCTTTCCGCTTGAAAACTCCTTCGGCAAGCCCAGGAAACGCCCGAAACAATATCCGAACAATTGTTCTGTGACCACGTAGCCTCGTCAAAGCTTTGGCCTCGAAGCTTTGGCGCCACCGTCGCGGCGGCGCATGACTTTGTTAACGCATTGCCATGGGGGGGCACCCGCACAGGGGATTGAGCCCCACAGGACGACACAGTCGCCCTTGATTTTCTTGAGTCCCTTCATTGCGTACCCTGTCCCAGTGGTAGTGGTCATATCTCGCTGCTCGGTTAGCCCGGCCACTTCGCGACTCGCATCGTTTATGTGTTCTTGGCTTCGCAACTCAATTCCACAAACAAGAAATCAGTCGCCCTGGGCCAAGTTGACCCTCGCGCGACGCCCGACCCGACGCACCGCGGTCAGCAGCCGCTCCGATGGCGCCGTTATTCTGGGTGCCATATGTTCGCCGCGTGACGCTTTCACGCGGATATGGTGGGCGCCTCGAACCGCGCCTTTACCATCCCCGCCGCGCGCGCGTGGAGAGGCACCGGCAGGTGGTTTCAATGTGTCCTTTCTTCTGTGTTCCTTTGCCGGCATTTACCCTGCTACTTTTGCATCCGACACAATCACCGTTCGCGCGCTCATTTAGGCTTCAGAATGCCCCCGGATTTAGCGCAAGGCCTTGTCGCCTGTGACTAGGGAGTCCACGCATTCCCCGTAGCCGGGCGAGTCCCGGGAGCCACCACCTGAACTAAATAAATGACCCGGGCCCATGACGGAGGTTCCTCAAGCCTCTTCGCCCCCATGTTCGTTACTTGATCCTGCGCAGAACAATGGGCCAATTCCACGATCCCTCGCGCGAGCTGTTCCGCCACGGCCGTCGCGTCAATCCAATGGGCCCTAGGTAAATGCATGAGATGTTGGGGCCCACCGGCCTTGCTGACCATCACATTTGTTGGACTATCCTCCATAAACTCAGCTCTCGGGGGTCGCCCAAGCAGTGCTTCCCACAAAGACAAGGCCGGGAGCAGTTCTCTCCGGATGGCTTCGTCAGCCAAGAGGGTTTCCGCCTCTAGCGCGCTATGTGACGCCGCCGTCTGTCATCTGGAGTTGCGACTCCACAGTAACGCTCTACTGCTTGGTCCCCGCAGCTTTTGGGCGTTCGCGCAAGTGCCGCGACGGGCCCTGACGTCGCTCGCCAGACCAGCATCCGCGCACTGCTTCAACCATATATCTGCAGACGAGTCACCGACCCAAGACACCATAAGAAAATGCGCAGTCAGCCTTGAGTAGCAAATAAGACGGAAGAGTTATTTGTCCCGTTGTTCCGTCCACAACTCACCGCAGGACGCAAAGGTGAAAACGACCCTCGGCAAGTCGCACCTCGCCATCCTCGCGCCATGCAATAGCCATCAAGACTTTAGCCGCAATTCTCTTTAAAAGGCCAGACGGAACCTGCGACTTAGGACTCACCGACCCGTCATCTTCCATACCAGGTCCGCCGACTTCAGGGACACTGTCCGCCAGACCGGTTGAGGCCTTGACGATGGCACATTCTGCCGTCGCCTTTTCAGCCGGGGACGCGCCCCCACCTCGAGGTCCACACTGTCCGTCCTCGAGACTACTCAACTCAGGGCCGCGCGGTGTTCCAGCCAGAGGATAAGCGGTCGGATCAGCGTCCGTCAACACTGCGCAGAGAGAGACACGGGACAAAATTAGCCTGACGAAGGACCCAACCATGTGCAGTTGCGGGCACCGCATTGTGGGCACCGGTTTCGGTGCAGCTCCTATGGGGCGACGAAACTTGCGAGGGGTGCGCCGAAATTGGTGGCGCGGACGCATGTGGACACCGCCACTAGGGCCTTCGGCGCAGCTCCCTATGGGGCCACGAAACGCTGCCCTGGGCGAGGGACACGCATGCGAACTGCGCCACTCAAACCTTCGCTGGAGCTCCGTATGGGGCCACGAAGTGATGTCATGGGCGGGGGAGACGCATGTGAATTGCGCCTCTGGCGCCTTCGGTGGAGTTCCCTATGGGGCCACGAAACGCTGTCCTGGGTGGGTGAGAACCATGCGAACACCCCGATTGAGGCCTTCGGTGGAGCTCCCTATGGGGCCACGAAACGCTTTCCTGGGTAGGGGAGACGCATGCAAACACCCCCACTGGGGCCTTCGGTGGAGCTCCCTATGGATCTACGTAACGCTGACCTGGGTAGGGGAACCGCATGCGGGCACCCCCACTGGGGCCTACGGTGGAGCTCCCTATGGGGCCACGAAACGCTGCCCTGGGTCGGAGAGACGCATGCGGGCACCCCCACTGACGCCTTCGGTGGAGGCCCCCATGGGGCTACGAAACGCTGCCCTGGGTGGGGGAACCGCATGCGGGCACCCCCACTGGGGCCTTCGGTGGAGCTCCCTATGGGGCCACGAAACGCTGCCCTGGGTGGGGGAACCGCATGCGGGCACCCCCACTGGGGCCGTCGGTGGAGCTCCCTATGGGGCCACGAAGCGCTGCCCTGGGTGGGCAAACCGATGCGGGCATCCCCACTGGGGCCTTCGGTGGAGCTCCCTATGGGGCCACAAAACGTTGTCCTGGGTGGGGGGGGCCGCGCGCGGGCACTCCCACTCGGGCTGCCGGTGGAGCCCCCTTGTGGGGCTACGAAACGCTGCCCTGGGTGGGTGAACCGCATGCGAGCACCCCCACCGGGGTCTTCGGTGGAGCCCCCTATGGGGCACCGAAACGCTGCCATGGGTGGGGGAACCGCATGCGGGCACCCCCACTAGGGCCTTCGGTGGAGCCCCCTACGGGGCCACGAAGCGCTGCCCTGGGCGGGGGAACCGCACGCAGGCATCCCCGCCAGGGCCTTCGGTGGAGGCCCCTATGAGGCCACGAAACGCTGCCCTGGGTGGGGGAACCGCATGCGGGCACCCCCACTGGGGCCTTCGGTGGAGCTCCCTATGGGGCCACGAAGCGCTGCCCTGGGTGGGGGAACCGCATGCGGGCACCCCCACTGGGGCCTTCGGTGGAGCCCCCTATGGGGCCACGAAGCGCTGCCCTGGGTGGGGGAACCGCAGGCGGGCACCCCCACTGGGGCCTTCGGTGGAGCTCCCTATGGGGTTACGAAGCGCTGCCATGGGTGGGGGAACCGCATGCGGGCACCCCCACTCGGGCCTTCGGTGGAACTCCCTGTGGAGCTACGAAACGTCGCCCGGGGTGGGGGAACCGCATGCGGGCACCCCCACTAGGGCCTTCGGTGGACCTCCCTATGGGGCACGAAACGCTGCCCTGGGTGGGGGACCCGCATGCGGGCACCCCCACTGGGGCCTTCGGTGGAGCTCCCTATGGGGCTACGAAACGCTGCCCTGGGCAAGGCAGGCACCCCCACTAGGGCCTTCGGTGGAGCTCCCTATGGGGCCGCGAAACGCTGCCCTGGGTGGGGGGACCGCACGCGGGCACCCCCACTGGGGCCTTCGGTGGAGCCCCCTATGGAGCTACGAAACGTGCGAGGGGCGTGCCGAGCGCAGAGGCAAGGAGGGGGAGGAGGGAGGGGGAGGAGGAGAAGAGGAGGAGGACGCGGGGCGCTGTCTCTTCAAAACGAGGACCCAACACCACAGGATGGTTGGGAACAAATCTCCCACATCATATTCCATGACTCGTACTTTCCGCGTCGGGCCCGGCACAAGGGGTCTCGGCGGCTCTGCGGCCTCCCGAACAGCAACACAGTCAGCGACCTCTTGCGCGGGGCTCGCCGGAGCGCAGCAACGCGCGGGAATGTTACAGGCGCCCGGACGGCACGAGGTAGCGCGTGACATAATCTCGCCGTTTTCTCCCGGGTTGGCCACATCGGCCCGACAGAACAACGTCGCGACAGCGTTCCAGATGCCGCCTGGACCGTCCAGGACAAGCGCGCGCAAGCGATCCCGCCCATCGTTCTGCGGGCCCCGGAGGTCCTCCAGTGCCTCCCAGGTGTCATAGTCTAGGGGGGCTCTCCTAGTTACTGTTCTCCAGACACCTCGCAACGCCGAGCGCCCGGGTCGCACCTGGTCCACGCCTGCTGGCCAGTTGGCATATGATAGGAGTGATCGGCATATCGGGGCTTGTCCTCCCTCCGCCATGATGTTCGGGCTCACGAAACCATACTCGGCCGCAGCCGCATCCTTTTCTTTACTTACTGCAGGGGGGAGGATACAACGCAGTCGGGCCCTCTCCTTGCCAGTCAATCCAGCGGTCGGACACGCGATGATCGAACCCCAAGTGTCTGCCCACTTCCGTCGGAAGATCCATCTCGGTCCCATTCGGCGCTGACTCGGAGGGGCTAAGGATGAGGCCCCAACTTGCGTGAGAATGGCCCGCAGGCATTGCCAGCTTGAAATCATCAGCATCAATCATCAGGAATAGCTTCAGGAGCGGATGGCAATAGCAGCTCCGCCACGACAGCATCGGCACGAATCCTTTCGAGAGCACGCGCGCCTCGCAATGCTGCCCCCTGTGTCCGCCGGCGCCTGGATGCCCGTGCAGAGCAAACCTCAGAGGGCACACCGGGTCATGCATCTATTACCAACTTGACGGCCAAGCATCTGTTGGAAGTCTCATCCACGTCGGGCCTGAAACGGATTGCGCGCAAGCCTGTCGCGCATCCGCCTCTTGGATGTCGCGATTCGGAAACAGTCAATAGGAGTCGGCACCCTTACTCGCCTGCATGGTGGCAGGACAAGATGACAACTCCTGGAATAGTGCTAGAATCTTATTCAGATGAATTACGTCTGAGCCGTCGAAGACAAATCGCCCTCTTGAGTTGTTCATCATTGCGCCCGCGCCCGCAGACTGGTCAGCCACCCAGTTAGGCGGGATGCCCTGGCTGGAAGCCGCGCATTGATCCGCATCGTCCGCTAGGGGGTTGCATCACGGTCGCAGACTCGGTTCCTTCTCTGCGAGCAGGGCAGCTCGCATCTCGCGCCCGCAAGCGCATGCGCGGAATGGAAGACTGCGCCTTCTGGTCGCAGCCTTGCAAGTCATGCCTGCGCGCTCCTCAACAGTCTCACTATCAGTCGGAGAACTGTTGTCCGTTCACAACTAATGTGTTCATCACTTTCCTTCTTATGTAATTGTGAGCATGCGACACCATCTGCGCCAAAACTCGTCTTCGAACTTCGGGCCTCGCCCACAGTCGATATGCTGGAGGTAGGGGGTGGTCGAGAATTTTACATACTGATTTCTCGCAGAAGGTCGGCATTTGGCCCAGGAAACTTACACCTTCAGCTTTGCATTCGGCAATTGCCCTCTGTCTTGCAGGCCCCCCCCATGTTCTACCATCTGTTACGATACACACCTGGTTTACATGGATCTTTCTGCGCACGCCTAAATGTCGCCTCGAAATTTTCGGGGTCGAACGCCCTGACGGGGTCAGGCCCTCTATACGCAGGGTCATGGTAGAACACAACGCGTATATGTGCCCCCTCTGCTCTTCGATTCAGGGGATGCCGTTGCGTTTGTTCCCCCAATGTCTTTCCTACAGTCACGGCGTCCTGTTCGAAGTGCGCCCGCGTCGTCAAGATCTGGGTCGCACGGGCCATGATTTGCTCGATATTCGGCCCTCCGCCCTCTGGCGCCGGCAGGGCGAGAATGAGCTCTCGTTCGGCCAGTCTACCCGCCAAGGCGTTCAGATGGCCGCGACGCGCCGCCTGTCGGGCCCCCGCAGGCGGGGGAAGCGGCCCTGGGAGCCCCTCATCGCCAGTCGGATCCTCAACCGCCGAGCGCCCCGCCACCTCTCCCGCTCCATCGTCGCGGGCAGGAGGCGGTTGAGATCCGCCGTGCGCGGCAGCCCCGCTCGACGAAGCGGATCGCCTCCCGGACAGCTGAGCGCCGTCCAGGATCTTGATCGGCCCTCCACCGGCGACGTTGTCACTGGCAAGTAGATCCCAAGCAAATCGATGGAACCGTCAACGACGCCTCATCGCACGCTCGCCGCAAAGGGAAGAACCTTCGCACCTGCCCGTCTGTTGTCCGTAATTCCACGAGTGTTTGTGTCGTCCACCATTGTTCGGACCTGTCGACGACAGGGCGTTTCCCGCTCTGTTTCATGCCTGTCTTGAGATTCAAGCCATCCAGCTGATCAAGAAGCACGCAATGATGGTCGGGCCCCGCCCGCGCCCCGACACGCTGGACATGTCCCCGGTGGACGCGGGCCCGCGCCCTCGGAACAGTCTCGGGCCGCTTGACACGGGCATCGGGCGGCGGCAACTATCGCACCGCCAACACGAAGGGCGCGAGAGGGGAGTCGAAGGGGACTCCAGATATCGTTTTCATTTGTGATTCGTCCACGCCTCGCTGCTGCGCGTTACGGCACAAGCAGAAGAGCGACGCAGCGCGTGCCCAGAACGGGGCCGGTAGCCCTGCAGATATCAGAAGTGTTCTGGTCCCGCCCCGCACAGTCCCACTGGCCCTCTCCGCGACGGAATTGTGCTTCTCATTGGCCAGTTGGGTCGAGTCGCGAGCAGTCATCGACTCGCTCAAAGAGTGTACATTCAGTAACTTACACGCCTTCTTGCGCCCCGGTGCCGCATCGGCGCGCATGCGCGCGAGGCGCTCACTCGGCGCCCGCAGGTTGGCCTAGAATTCAACCGCATGCTCAACCGACTCATCGCGAGAGCTCTGGTTCGCCAGGAATCCCGCAAACAGGTCGCGCAACGTCGCGCAAGAAGATTATCCGCAGAGCCCCCTCGAGAGTTCATCAGCCGCAAACCAGGGGCCCATGGTCCACAGACCCCCAACCTTCGTCGGTTCCGAAGCCTTTTTTGTCACCCTGTTGCCGTTGCTGCGCGCGCAGCGTCGTAGCCCACTGACACGTGGGACAGCACGGTTTTTGTCGGCAAATGCGTCAGCAAATGCCGTCGGGAGATCGATTCCAACTTCAACTGGTCGGCGTTTGACATCCCCCTGGAATCGGCGCCATCCTCTTCCTCATCCTGCCTCATCTGGGCGCCTCTGCCGAGGTCGTCGATCATACCTCGACAGGCCCCGCGTCGCCGGGCCTGGCCCCCGCGACGCGAACGTCGCAAGGGGCGGGAACAACCGTGGACCGCGGCGCCCGAGCCGCGCGAGGCTTGCTACAAATATCTCCGGAAACACCGCCTCCAAATATTGCGCCTCGCGATGAACGTTTGCTGACGCCGCCTCCTTATCCTCGGCCATTGCCTTCTGCGAGTGCAGTTCAAGGGTTGCGCGATGCCTGATCGCCTGGGGCGGCGGATCTCCCTCCTTCGCAGGATCGCCCAGGAATGACGTCGCGCTAGTCTCGACGCAAGTCCACCGCGCCAGCCCTGCCGGGCTGCCGGGAGGCGCTCGACCTTCGGCCCCCCGCGCTCCGGAGCCGGCAGAAGTGCGTTCGTCGCGCGAGAATGAGTTCTCGCTGTGCCAGTTTACCCGCGAAGGCGTTCAGATGGCTACGACGCGCCGCCTGTCGGGCCCCCGCAGGCGGGGGAAACGGCCCTGAGGGCCCCCATCACCAGTCGGATCCTCCTCTGCCTGGCGCTCCGCCACCTCTCCCGCTCCATCGTCGCGGGCAGGGGGCGGTTGAGATCCGCCACGCGCAACCGCCCCGCTCGACGAAGCGGATCGCCCCTCGGATAGCTGAGGTCCGACCAGGATTTGTCGGCCTTCCACTGGTGACATTGTCACCGGCAAGTAGATCCCCCAAGCAAATCGATGGAACCGTCACCGACGCTTCATCGCATGCGTTTCGCAACTGGAAGAAGACTTTCGCACCCGCCAGTCGGTCGTCCACAATCCCGCGAGTGTTTGTGTCAACGCCTGCTTCCATGCTGGTGTCAGTCCACATTTGCGAGGCCCTATCGACGACGGGTCGTTTCCCGCCCTGTTTCATGCCTGTCTTGAAATTCAAGCCATCTAGCTGATCAAGAGGCACACAACACTTGTCCGGCCCCCCCCCGCCCCCCCGCACGCTGGACATATCCCAGGTAGATGCCTACCCGTGCCCTCGGAACCAGTCTCGGGCTGCGCGACGCGGGCATCGGGCGGCGGCGAATATCGCGCCGCCGACCCAAAGGGCACGAGAGGGAGTCGAAGGGGACTCCGAATCTCTATGTCCATGGCGATTCGCCCACGCCTCGACGCTGCGCGTTGCGGCATAAGCAGAAGAGCGACGCAGCGCATGCCCAGAACGGGGCTGGTAGCCCTGCAATCATCAGGAGCGTTCTGGCCCCATCCTGCACAGTCCCACTGGTCTCTCCGCGACGGAGTTATGTTGTTCATGGCCCGGTTGGGTCGAGTCGCGATCGCCCAATGAGTGCACGCCCAATGATTTACACGCCTTCCGGAGCTCAGGCGCCGCATCGGCGCGGATGCACGCGAGGCGCTCATTTGGCGCCCGCAGGTTGGCCTAGAATTCAACCGCATGATCAGACGACATACTACGAGCGCTCTGGCTCGCCAGGAATCCCGCGAACCGGTCGCGCAGCGTCGCGCGCGAGGATTCCCCGCAGGGCCCCCTCGAGAGCTCATCCGCCACAAACCAATGGCCCATGGTGCACAACCTCCAATCTTCGTCGGCCACCCTGGCCACAACTGTTTGCAGGCCGTATTATTCTGCTGCCGTTTCTGCGCCCGCACGCTGCGCCCGCGGCGCCATAGCTCACTGACGCGTGGAACAGCACGGGTTTCGGCAGATGCGTGAGCAAATTCTGTCGGGATGCCGATTCCAACTTCAACTGGTCGGTTTTCACGCCCCCCCGGAAGCGGCGCCATCTTCTTCCTCTGGACGTCTCTGCCGAAGTCGTCGACCCCCTCGACGGGCCCTATTTCGCCGGGCCCGGCCCCGGCGACATCAACGTCGCCAGGAGCAGAAACAGCAGCGGACCGCGGCATCCAAGCCGCGCCAAGCTTTCCCGCAAACACCGCATCCAAATATTGCGTCTTGCAATGAACGTTTGCTAACGCAGCCGGTACTGGATCCTCTCGAGCCCTGTTATGACGCCAGCTGGGGCATATATTACAAAAAAATGTGTAAGTCCACGCCGTTCGGCTCCGTCACGGTTGAGGCGCCGCCCCCCCGGCAATGGAATTCCCATGCCCTTCATTCCGTCCGGACGGGCACCCTCGGCCATTACCTTTTGCGAGTGTAGTTCAAGGGTTGCGCGATACCTGATCGCCTGGAGCGGCGGATCTCCCGCCTTCGCACGATCGCTCAGGACTGACGTCGGGCTAGTCTCGACACAAGCCCACCGCGCCAGCCCTGCCGGGCTGCTGGGAGCCGCCTCCTCTACCTGGCCCAGGGCCAGTGTGACTTCCATGGTTAGATGCGGAATCTTGTCATCGATCAGTAGGTCAAGCCGCTCCCGATTTGGCAATAGTAAGTGAGGAACTCCGCCAGATCTCCAATTTGAAATGTAGCCGCGGTCTACGCAGAGCCCACCTACCGACGTCACGCTCGGGGCATCCGGCATGACACTAGCCTCCGCGCCACCCCCGCGCAGCTCATCGCTCGCGACGAACGCGGCGCCGAGAGCATGCGATTGTCCCCCTACAGCGTTGAGAGTTACAAGCGTTCGCAGAGAAGTGACCCCGCCCATCAGCCTGGCCCCCCGAGGAAAGCGCGCCGCTATCAAGTTGGATCCACACCCTGCGTCAATAGTGAACTTGGCACGTCCCAGACGCACAGGGTCAGCTCGTTTGACACTTGCTTTCATAGAGGCTTTCCTCGCAGACGCGGCGGCACTGTCGCCCTCTGAGTCGCAACTAGAATCCGATAACGCAACATCTGGGCATTGCTCCCAAATGGTCCATAGACGTCGAACGTATTTCGGCGCGTTGGCCGCTCACTATGAGACCGTGGGCGATCTTTGCCCTTGCCACGTTCTTGTCTTCTGCCGCGATTCTTCACTCCTTCAGCACCGCCTTTCCTGGCGCCCCCGTTCTGTCCGTCGCCCCCCCCCGTCGCCCTCGCCGCCCGGGGCGGCATCTTGCCGCGCGGGGGCCGCGGGGGCGACCCCCTCAGGACGCCGGCGTTGACACTCGGCCCTCGAATACTTACACTTTCCCAAAAAAAACCGCTTGCATTCGACGCCCCCCCCCGGGCCCCCCCATCGGCCACGTGGAGCGACCGCTTTTCATCGACTCACCCCCCGCGCCTCCAACGGGGGGGCCGCGGGCGTTCAGCTGCTGTCGCTGAACTTCACGGCCGCCCCCCCCCCATCCGCCTGCGCGCGCCTGCTGATCTGAGCGAGCAGCCACTCGCATGATTCGACGCCCTTACCGGCAGCCACTCGCATGAGTTGACGCCCTTACCGCACTCATCTCTGCGATGCTCATGCATGGCAAGGGCCATCGCCATTGCCGGGCATTCCTTCATCTGTCTCTATATATACATATATATATATATATATAAACACATATATATATATATATATATACATGCCCCCGGGTAGCGGGTCGGAACGATGCGCGTCCATTCGTCGTGGAAATGTAACAACTCGTCGTCTGAGTGCTTGCCCGAAACTCGGACCGTGATTTCCATCAGGTCCTGGCGCGCATGCGCCTGACCATGATCGTGTCGGGTGGCAAAGTGCACGGCAATGGTCAGCAAAATAGCACGGCCCGGGAGCATCCTCGACTACCCCGCATACTTGCAATCCAGACGGTCGGTTTCACTGGCCAAGTGCCACATGGGAGGGGGCGCCTTCGCGCCTCTCATGATTTTGTGGACCTTTGACACTATGTCCGAGGCGATATTTGAAACGAGTCCCCCGAATTCGCGGGGATCGCCAAGGTCTTTGAGAGGGGCCTCTTTGAGTTGGAAGGCAGCGTCGATCCAGGGGGTCGCCCTTGCCCACTGCGCAAACTAGACAAGACTAGCCGAACGACTGTCTCATCCACTTCCTGCGCCCGCTGGCATCAGGAATATGGCCGAGAACAACCTCGCCCGTCTTTCCCACGTCTGTCCACGCGCCCCCCGCCCCCAGAACGCCGCGCGGGAGAGTCGCCGGGCTTCCGCGCCCCGGCGGAGGATCGCCCCCCAGAGGGTCGCCATCGCCTACGGCACTTGTCGCCGTCATCGCCCTTCTCGTCGCCCGAAGATTCATCGCCCTCGTCTTCAGCGTCATCTAGCTCAAGATTTGAGTCATCATCGAATTCGCCGACGCCGTTGCCAGGCGGGCCTGGGCCTTCCCCCATCGGCAAGGGCAGCGCCTCTCGGGGCGGAATCATCGGATTCCCCCCCTTCAACCGCACCGCCGCCGCCAACGCCCCCACCTCCGGGCCTTCGCGAATCAAGAGGAGTAAGACATGGGAACCTCGTGACAGGCACTGCCTCCACGCCGACTTCGTCTTTCCCTGCCCCTTCCGACGCTCGCCATCCATGTTCTGGCCTTATCCTCTCTTTCCCTTTCCCGTTGTTTGGCGACTAGCCCAGCCTCAACCCGTTTTCTCCGCGCGCTGTTCTTTGTTGCGCGTCGGCTGCAGCGCGGCGCCCCACGTTCTTCTCTGGCTCGCGTTGCAGATCAATCATATCTTGCGCTCGGCCATAGCGCTGCCCTCAAACGCCCTCTGGCGTCAAGCGAACTCACTCTCTGCCCCTTGCCCTGAGGAGGCCGCGGCATCGCCGCGCGGCTGCCTCGCAATGAGTCGACAGTCGACTGGCCCTGCGCCCGGCATTGAATGCGCGGCGACGCGCTCATCAATCTCCATCCTCACCTCACGCTCATCCCCCTCTGCTTCATATCTCCTTTCCCAGCGCGGCAAGTCGCGCATCGATTCTGCACGCGACCAAGATGACCCCCACAATAGGCGTTCGCCCAGCACCGACAGTCGCGAACAGCATTCTTAGAACGGAGACAGCAACGCAAAGAACCAGAGCCCACTGCGAAGCAAACAGGCGGGCGCGCCATCTCGCGGGGGCCCGAGGCTCTGCCTGGCGCGCCAACGGGCGCGGCCGACTTTCTCTCTGGTGCGTTCTCTCACACTTTGTTTTGGGCACATGGTTCCGACAATTCACGATCCTGCGCCTCGCGTCGGATCCCCCATTGCTCCGGCGCCTGCGTCGCAGCCACTTCCATGCCACGGGATACGGCGCCCAGTTTGGCATTGGCTTCCTGCTCCACCATCTGAATTCTTAGCGAAGCTTATCTGGCCTCGGCAACCGCGCGTGCAAATGAGGCGCTCGATCCCGAATCGACGGCGCGTTCCCGCTGTCGAGAGTCATCGACTTCGCCTCGGGCACTATGCAGCAAGGTCGCGCCCTCGCTCGCGGTGCGTCTAGCCGCTTCGACAGCGGCTCTCTTTCCGGCGGCCGGTTCCTGAATCTCAGCGTTGGCCTCCGACGCCGATTCTGCTT